GAGAACGCTGTGAAGGAAGTTAAGCTTACCACTCGAAAAATCCTGTCCTCGTCTACCTTGGAAAGAACCTTTTGGCCGGTTGCAGCAAAGGCTGCAGCTTCGATCCAGCGAGCTCGAGTACTTCAACAAGTCCCGAGGATGGTTACGAGCTTTGGTGCCAAGGTTCTAGTGAAGAAAAGGAGGTATGCAGCGTCCGGAGCTTTGATTCGTCTGGAGTTTGATGAGCGTTGGGCCGAGGGCATCTATCTGGGTCTCTCAGATCAGGTTTCCAATGGTCACCTCGTCTATGTGGATGGAATCTTTACACACACCAAAAACGTGAAGGATAAAGCGAAGTTGGTGGATGCAGGAGGTGAAGGGCGCGATGATGAGAGGAAACGAGCGGGAGATGAACCGGATCTACCACGAGCGCGCAGAAGGATTGTGGGCAAGTCTACACCTCGAGTGGCAACCTTGGATCGGAGTGTGGATATTGGAGTATATGACGACGATCTACCGGAGGATCAAGAAGAGCCGGGCGCCTATGATGATGATCTGCATGAGGACCAAGATGGGCCTGGTCAGGACGATGATGTGGCGGAGAGTGCTGTCCAAGTGGCAAGTCTATCTCCTCGGGTTGCTGCCCTTGACCAAGGAAGGGCTGAAGCGCAGAGTGGTCACATGGAATCCATAAACCCGGAGGACTACGCGAAGGAGATCATATATGATGAGGGCGATGTGAATGAGGAAGTGATCGAGCGGCTGTTTGATTTGCTTCCAAACCAAAGACTACCTCGGCAAACAGAAGACTGCGGCGAAGGTAGTTTGCCACCAAAGGCGTGGGCCTCCGGAGTGTACCGTCATGGTGGGGTGTTGGGAGTGAGGAACTCGTCGAAGGAATTTCCTTATTCTACACGGTTGGTGAATCAGTTCATTCGTGGAGTAATGGGCGAGTCAGCAACCTGGTCTACGTTCTCCCTGCACCGAAACCTCAGCGTGAAACGACATCGTGACTCACATAATGCTCGAGATGAGTTGTCCTATTTGATCCCAATCAGTGACTTTCAGCAAGGGGGACTTTGGACACAGGCGGGCGTTGATGAGGTCGTTGAGGGTGACGAAGTGGTCATGGTGGATGGAAAGCGTGGACGTGTGAAGCATTTACAGTCTGAGGAGGGGTCGAAGGAAATGGTTTCGTTCAACCCAAGGCAGTGGCATGCAACGATGCCATGGACCGGAGACAGACTGGTCTTAGCGGTGTACAAGGTTCGTGGGCTAAACAAGATCAAGCCAGTTGATGAGGACGTTGCGCTGGATTTGGGATTCCCACTACATACGAACGATGCCGAAAGTCCAAGGATGTGCAAGCTCATCGGCGGGGAAGGCGAGCAACCAGGCCCAGTGGCACAGGAGGAGGCTGAAGTGGACCTGGAGCCTGTCGAGGAGTTCAGGTATATCAGGATGTCCGAGAGAGAGTGGAATACAACCATTGCGAGGTATGGTCCAGATCACTACGTCGAGGAGATGGCTACGAGGTGGCAGAGGATTGAACCCGAAGAGGGGAACTTGAACTCAGTGATTCCGGCGGCCATTGCTGCTGACATTGATCGGGACTGGATGGATGTTCCGCGAATCTTCCTAATGTCCGAGGATGGTCAGGAGCTGAACGTGGGGCGGATGCTGGGAACGAGAACGTCACGGATACCGCATGATGATCCAGAAGGGCTAGGTTCAAGCTTCCTCAAGGCGTGCAAGATTTACAACTTGGTCACAAATGAGGAGGAGATGATTGTTTTTTGGATTCAAAGAAGGATAGTTGTTCATCGAGCACTTCCTGGAGATCAACGTCATGCTTGGAGAGGTCCAGATGAGCCTAGGCCACCGGATGTGGACCCAAGGGGCAGAGCACCTCGTCTAGCAGCAATTGCAGTTCAGGAACCGATGGAATGGTTACACTTTGTAGAAGTGGATGTGGATCGTAAAGAATGTGAAGGTGACGCTCGGATCATGAAGGCCACCCAGGACACGCTGTACACCCCGAACATTGAAGAGCTTCTCAACAAGGTGACTCCAGAAAACCCTTTGAAGGTGACTCATACTGTGGATCCTCGAGAAGTACTACCAGTGGTGGAGCAGTGGGTCCCAGCCATGAAAGCGGAGTTGAGTGCGTTGGAAGGAATGCCAGCAATCAAGAGATATTGCGGCCTGGAGGCGGATGCTCTGAGAAGAGACCAAAACGTAGTCATTGTGCCGAGCAAGCTCGTCTTCACCGTCAAGCCTGGGGTGGAGCCGGGAACCTTTAGAAGAAAGGTTCGAGGAGTGGCTTGTGGAAACTTCTCTGGGGAGTCGGCCGAGGAACTTGGTGACGTGTATTCTGCTGGAGCTACAATTGACTTGGTGAGACTATGTTTGGCGGAGGTCAATGCGAATCCTGGGTGGATAGCGGTCACCGATGACATAAAAACTGCCTTCCTTCGGGCCCCAATTCCAGAGCTTCCCAATGGACGAAGGTATGCAATGGAGGCGCCAAAAGCAACGATACGAGCAGGACTCGCCCAACCGGGCGAGTTGTGGCTAGCAACAGCAGCAGTCTACGGCTTCCAGCGGAGCCCGAAGTGGTGGAGTCAACATAGGAACGCTACAACCAAAAAGGCGACCTGGAAATCTCCGAAGGGTGGAGCTATGAAGGTCGTCCCGTGCATCACCGACGACAACCTCCACAAGCTTGTTGAGGTGCTACCGGATGGCGAGCATATCGTGGGGTATGTCCTCTTCTATGTCGATGACACCTTGGCAGTGGGACT